GTAAAGGCACAAGCAAAAATTATTCCTCTCAGGCTCTTCTGTGAAATGCATGCTGTGCCCAGGGCCGTATCTAACTCACTGCAAATTTGAAGTAAGTCCATCAAACTTGACAGTTTCAGCAAATCTTCCTTCCTTCCTTCCTTCCTTCCTTCCTTCCTTCCTTCCTTCCTTCCTTCCTTCCTTCCTTCCCTCCTTCCCTCCTTCCCTCCTTCCAACCTGTTTATCCTATTTGCCTTAACATGAAATTAAAGAGGAGGATGGTTATAAGCAGCACATCATCAGCTGTGGTAGATAAGAGACTGTAAATCTCTGATTTAAATTGGTCCATGTGGGATTTTGCAGTATCCGAATTAGGTAAACAGTATTTCCAGGGACTTACAGTTGCTTACACATAGAGCAAGGAAGACTATAGTGCGGAACACGGAGAGCTTTTTCTTAGAAGTGCTAGGTGGTGGCAAGCATATTGTTCCCACCACCAAGGTACTTTCTTCAGCATGTTGACTTTCTTTTACTCTTTCCTAGGGGAGAAGTGGCTGGACTAGAAAGTGAATGAAATGTTTGGTCCCCTCAAGGACCACCATACTTCTGCCATGGCTGTGCAAACAGCACCAAAGGAGCAGGTGAGCTTCCTGTATTTATGTGCTAATTCTTAAGGCAGTGAAGACTTCCTTTGTCCTTAAAATAGTAGTCGTGTGTTTGAAGACTATTGACAACCCAGACTTTGAAAAGGACAGTTGTGCAGGGTTAGCTGCTCTTTTTGGGTAGCAGAAAAAGATTTGGCCTTTCTGCAGCTGATACCAGATGGAGTGAGAAGATCAGAGGAGACAACCCTGTGGTTCAGATGTTGAGGGAGGTGGGGTTTTTTTTTTTGCCTTGATGATCTTTGAATTTCTATCACAGTGAGGATCCCAGTAGGCACAGTAGTAAGTAGCAGTGTCATCTGGAAGTACATAATTTATTGTGAGAACACACCGTTTCTGGCCAGAAACATTTTCAACCATGTACCTGTTCTCTTGAAAGCCACTTTCAACCGAAACTTTCCCTTCTGAAAAGAACAGGAGCCTCTCTGGAGCTTTACCCTCCTTCTGTTGATACCAGTGTATGACGGTGCGATCAAAATTTTCCCCTAATGTTTGAATGTTACATGTCATCCGTACACTGTTTTTGAACTTGGTGATGGATATAGGGCTCTGCACGGGAATTTCTTGTGAAAATCCATCTAGGAAAGAGAAAAGGAGAAATGATGTCCTTAGCTGGAATGCAGGGATTTGGGAAGACGCCTGTTAGCACAGACATAGGTGCCTGTGAGGAAAGGTAAGAAAATAAGGAAGGACTTACAAGACCAAGCGGCTGTGGCCACAAGCGCTGCCAGCAGCAGCATGTTTGCTTGTCACGCTCTGCTGTCGTTCAGACTCAGAGGAGGGTGAAAGGGACCCCAGATGGGGACAGTGTTGTGTTCGAGGAGGAGGTGACTCTCTTGAGCTTCCTTCAGTGACGGGTCTTCTGTGCGCAAGCAGATAGGGCACATTTGCAGAAAACCTTCTCCAAGCTGACAAATGCTAAAATTGGTTAGAGGTTGTAGTCCACTCTGCTTTTCCGGTAAATACGAGAAACATTGGTAAGTCCTAGGATTGTGGCCCTTGAAAACTCGAGCCAGAGCCACTGAGAAAGGGTTGCAAGCGAGAGCAGCTCTAGCGGTGTAGCGGGGTGTGAAGTTTTCAGCCTGGAGGTCACCCCGGTGGGCGGTGAGTGCGTGCCGTCACCAGAGGGGTGAGGACAGATGTACAGTGCCCGAGCAGGCAGGAGGCATTCCCCCATCCTCTTAGGGACCTCCTTTTGCTTCTTCAGCTTAGTCACCCAGCTGTGGCATGCTGAAGTGCCCTGGGTGCCCCCATGCTGGTGCCGCCCTCCACCAAAGCAGCTGGAGGCCATTAGCCTGCAGTGAGCGGGGCAGCTGCACTGCGGGGATGCGCCTCCGCTTTGGTTTCGAGTGCGGGAGGAAATGTACAGCCACAGGGTTTCAGTTTCAAAGCTCAGATGAGGTGCAAACAGTTCTTGGAAAGGAAGACTGGAAAACAAAAGCGAACCTGGTGAGGGCTGCTGTCAACAGCCATTGCAGAAGGGCATCTCGATGAGTGGGGCTGGTGCTGCGGGGCACTCCCCGGTGACCGGTGAGCCTGGGCTGTAGCTCGCTGGGCACGAGGGAGACGAGGTGCTTTGGCCTCCCTCCTGCTGGCAGTTGGCCACATGCAGCAAGCCGGCAGTAAGCACGTGTTGTTAACCAGCTTGGAAAGGTGCCCGCAAGTGCAGGGCTCCAGGGAGAGGCAGGCAAGGAGAGACACCTGCCTCTGTGCGGTGGCAATGGAAAGGGTCCCTCTCTTCCCAATAAATAACCGTGGGAAAGTCTATTTAATTTCCTGTCAGGCCACCCTGAGAGGGATGAGAAGGAGAAATGACTTAAGGACCAGCAGGCACAACAAAGTGACTAGGTGGTGAGTGACAACAAAGTGACGAGGAAGGGAGATATGAAGCAGACTTTAAGATGAAGGGAGGGAGGTGCAAGGAAAAGGTCACTCATCCCAGCAGCATCCCATGACAATCTCCTGCATGACCAACTATAGTTAGTCAGAGTGAAAACTGTGTTGGCAATTGTATGTTGAGGACGTGAAATCAAGCCCCTGCTGTCAAAAACTACCAGGCCATGCTGTATAAAACAGTAGCAGTACGTTGCTATTCTTCTGATCACACAGCAGAAATCTGTCAGGCACCTGATCCCAGATGAAGAGTCAAGGAATACGGTAGTGACTGAGTCTCACACAATTAAACGTCTAAATTACAGATACTGTCTACATTTTGTACTGTAGCTGTCTAACACAGAAAGTCTCCCAGTAGGAATAATTACAGATCAAACTTGGTGGTGTCTATGCCAAGAGGACACATGCAGTGGCCGGAGCCTTCTTCAACAATATACCTTTCCAGGTTCACATTATCACCAAACAGACTTGTCACTGATGAAATGGCCAACATCCACTTTACAGAGAGCTTCATTATCTAAAGCTACCTAAATAGCTTCCCCTTTGTAAATCCATGCTGACTACTCCTGACCACCTTCTTCACCTTCATGTGTCTGTAAATGGTTTCCAGGATTAGTTGCTCAACACCTTCCCAGGGATTGAGATGGGGCTAACCTGCCTGTAGTTCCCCAGGTCTTCCTTCTTGCCTTTCTTGAAGATAGGAGTGACATTTGCTTTCTTCTAGTCTTCAGGAACCTGTACTGATTGCTGTGACCTTTCAAAGATAATGGAGAGTGGCTTTGCAAAGGCATTGGCCATCTGCCTCAGCACTTGCGTGTACGTCCCATCAGGTGCCATGGACTTAACGTATGTTCAGTTTAAGTTCTCATTAACCTGATCCTCCTCCACCAAGGTATGTATTTCTTGCTCCAGACTTTCCCTCTGTTCTCAGGGGCCTGGGATTCCTGAAGGCTGATCTTTCAGGTGAATACTGAGGCAAAGGAAGCATTGAGTACTTCAGTCTTTTTCCATGTCATTTATCACCAGTATCTCTGCCTTATTCAGCAGCTTTCCCTAGTCTTTCTTGAGCTTGGAGGAGATTCTTGAATATCAACCAGCTTTCCTGGACACCTCTTCTCTCCAGGGCTGTATCCAATGGGATTCTTCCACGCAGATCTCAGAAGAAGTTGAAGTCTGCTCTCCTCAAGTCCAGGGTTGTGGTCCTGGTTTTGCCCCGCTCCCTCTTCTCAGGAGCCTGAACTCCACCAGCTCATAGTCACTGCAGTCAAGGCTGCCCCTGACCTTCACATCGCCAACCAGTTCTCCCTTGTTTTGAGTAGGAGGTCCAGCAGAGCACTCTTCCTTGTTGGCTGCTCAACCACCTGTGTTAGGAAGTTGCTGTCAACTCACTCCTAGACTGATTGTGAGGAATCCTCACATCCCACAATGTGAAGACAGAAGGCAAGCTGACTGAAGTTAACATCTGAGGTCACATGTACTACAACCTATTTTTCAAATAGTTAGGGAGGCCAGAAACATCTATAGCAAGCCGTAACATATCCAAATCTTTCCAAAAGTCCAGCAAAAATGATGTTTGGAGACCATGGAACTGGAAAACAACCACTATGGAGGTATTTGTGCTCATTTTTGAAGGTCCAGATCCATTAGTGGGATATCTTACAGGATACTGAGCATGTGCACTCTGTCCTAACTCAGGAACTCGGAGGCACAAAACTATCTCAGTTTTCTGACTTAGCTTTCAGGCAAATGCCAGCTTTCCTAGAAAAAGTCTTTGATCATAGAACCTGATTTATAAAACTCAGTACGCTTATCCCGAAGGGCCTGAGAGTCTCTGCTTGCCAGGGGCATAGCCCGTGGCTGAGGATTTCAGTTCTGTCCTGGACACATCAGGTGAGAAACTGTGACAGTAAAATCGGGTTTTCTGGGCTGTTGTACGAATTTGTAGAGACTGAAATGCAAAGGAAGGCAAAAGAAAAATATGAAGGAGTGTGTGCAAGATCATCTGGTCTTCTCTCCTTCTTTTATATTCATGTTTTTTTTTTCAAGAGAAAGCACTGAGGGGATGGAGATATGTTTCTCTGCTTGCTCCAAGGATTCTAATAGAGAAGAGAAATTTACAGCTCACATTTTTTCACACACACAGAGAGAGACAGGCCGTGTTCACTGTCAGGTGAGTGCTTTCAGTACAATCAAGCCTTCATCTTAAGAGCAAAGTTCAATATATTTATGCTAAAGTGACTGGGACTCTCCAGTTTCTGGGTGTTACAGATATGTGTGAGTACTGAAATGGTATACTGATTATTAACATGATATATTTAGCAGCTGTCATGATAAATTGCTGTTTTTCTTATCCTGTTACAGAAAAATCATGAGTGAGGGGTGGATTAGGGAAGTATCTTCATTTTGGCAGAGTTCAGATCTTGTGGTTCAGAGTGCAAAACGCCTTTTTGTATGGCTTATCTTTGCCCATCTAATGCTGTGATGCTGCCATAAAACCAATATGCACAGTAGTAAGTGCCAGAATCCCTCCGGGTTAAATTAACTATCGTTAAACCATAGAGAGGCTCAGTAGGATGTTTCCGAACTTGAAATCTCCTTGCACCGTCTCTGTCATCAAATAAAGGTGTCTGTCCCGACACGTACAGTATCCTCTTCAGCGGCTCTCCGGGAAGCTGCTTGTACCAGTGCACAGTGGCTTCAGCGCTCATTTGGCACGCCATGCTGGCAGAGCTGCCCTTCACCTGCCTCTGCAGCTCCGGGGTTTGCACTGGCACTGCCTGCGCGTCTCCACCTGGAAGGGGAAGTGGAGAAATTGTGTGAGGGGAAGAAACCGCTGGAGTTTGGAGCCAGGACTGTGTTCTCAGCACACGGGAAGGAGAGGGGAGAGGAAAAAGGGCTTACAGGACCACAATGAAGTTGCAAGAAGGACTGGAAGCAGCAACATGCTGCCTGTGAGGGTTAAACCTGGAAATGAAATAAACAAAGACAGAAACGTTATGAAGCCCTTCAGGTGGAGAAAGCGTCAAACAACTGGGAGGAGGAAATGACTCATTTGGCACACCCAATGGTCGTCCTTCAACTCGCTACCGTGGAGGGGGTTAAATTTACTAACAAGCTAAACCACATCACTAACGGTGTAGAAAGGACCTAAAATACTCAAACTGAAATAGTTTTTCTTCATCTATTAATCTGCTACATTTCTTTCAGACTTACCTGCTGAGCTCACACATAAAAACTCAAGTTGTTCAGTCTGGCCTTTCCCAAGGATGTTCTCCTCTCCGCAGACACCCCAAAGCTGTCCCAGAAGCACATTTCACCAGCCTTTCCTAGAACATACTGCCTGCTTTGGTAGCACAAATGGGATAAGTCATAGTGAAATATCATCTCTTACTCTTACTTAAAACAGCTCCAAACTGTCTGGTCAGCCTTATCCATCTACCCCAGACACAGTGAAGCGAAGCCAGGGTGAAGCATGCATGTCTCCCAGCCAGCTGTTTGCTGCCCTCTGCTTTTTCTTGTACTTTCCCTCATATCAGAGCCCTGAAAAGGTGCCCTGCAAAGACTTCACGCAAGGTGCCCTGCAAAGACTTCATGGCAAATGGTCCCTTGGGCAGCAGTCACCACACAGCATGCCCTTCCCTGAGAAAAATTTCTCATTTTCTGACTCAAAAGAGACAATCCTCTCTGGATCTTTTTTAGTTGTCAATAGCAGTGTACACAACTAAAACTCATCTCACAACTAGTACAGAAAATTCGTATTGTTCTGTTGTCCTTGTGATAGATGCATGAACTTGTGCCAGGTCCTGTAGTGTAGACATATCTACAATGAAAGAACAACAACAAAAAAATTATAAGCATGGAGTTTACTGACTTGAAGACTCTGTCTTTACTATTAGTCCATTTAAGTGTGAAGGCCAGAGGGGAAGGTATCTTCCAAGGCCAAACTAAAGCTACAGGAAGAACCTGCAGCAATGATGTTTTCAGAGAAGACGGCTAGGCCTGTAGGAATTGAAGTGCATTAGGTGGGGGATGAACTGCCATTGAGGAGAGGAAATGATACACTCGAGTTGCATGAAACACACACGTGGACATGGGTTTGTGAATACCATTGCCACATAAGTGAACTTTTACTGTGGCTCTGCTCCCAGCTGTCTGGCTGAGCAGTGCTGTGTCACCGTTTCCATATATTCCCTGCTTTAGTCTTGAGCTTTCTCTTGTAAATGGTCTTCGCAACCCTTTCTTGGGGCCGTCTTTTCAGGAGTTGCCCAGTGCAACAGATCCTTCCCTATAACAAGGGATCCTAAGGGATATCGGTGTTATAAGCAGTCATCACCATCATAATCATTAAGATGGGAGTGACCAGTGGTGATTATCACCAGTATCTCCATCGTGACCTGGATTTGAAGTCTCCCAGGCTAGATCTTCTGTGCAAATTTCCTCCTCCTATGCTCCCTCCCTGCCATTTGCTTCATTTTGCTAGCTCAGACTGTATTTGGAAAGTATCTATATTCAGCAAAGACAATCTGTGTTACTGTATAATTCAGCTGTCATTACCATCACCCACAGGAGTGCTTCTTTTCCCCAGCACGGTGCATTATACCAGCTGAGTAGTAGCACGCTGCATTTCTTTGCTATTCTCTCTGTCTATTATTTATACTTACATACTCAGCATAAACCTGTCAGGATGTTTTAAAGGCAGGAAGGTGCAATCGTGGTTCTCTGCATTTGACAGAAAGCCTGCCACGCAGGGTACAGGCAGCTTTCTGTACAGGCTGTCTGTGATCTGCTAGTTCTGTGGGACTGCCAGCAGGCACAGTAGTAGGTAGCTTCATCGTCGGAGTTGATGTTATTGACTGAGAAAGTGCAGACATTTGTACCTTTCTTCAAAGAAGAATACTTGGTCCTATAGGAATTTTGATCATAAGAAACTTGATCCGATCCAATATACAGAATGCGTTCAGGAGCTTTGGAGGGTATCTGTCGGTACCAATGTATATTCTCAGACTGGAAGTTAGATACGCCCTCGACTATACACTCAATCCTTGCAGTTGTAGTTAGCCTTCTGGTAATGGATGCTTGACTCTGCTTCAGAAGCACTTGTGCTTGTCCATCTAGAAAGAAAGAGAGAAAGCACAACAAACACTCTTAGCCTGCTATTCATAAATACACTCGTAAATACGGGGTGCCTCCTGCCGCTGCCCCGTGCCATGCTGTGGTGACAAGGGGAACCTACGAGACCAGGCTGCAGCCAGGGCCAGGAGCGGGAGCAGCAGCATCCTGAGGGCTCTCGCTGGCGTCTGCCTCCGGGAGGAAGGCAACAGAGGAAAGGAAATGACTCACTTGGGCATCATCCGGAGAGGCTGCCCTGGCAGCAGGCGGGTGATGTTGAGATAAAGCAACGTGACTGAACCCTGCTAAATGTTAACAGCCTGATTATAGCTTTTACACAAGCAGCACAAATTCACCATTTTTTTCTCTCTCTCATATGCACACACACAAAATCACTTTAACTCGTTCACAAAGTAATTTAGTAGTCTGAAGCAGTTTTACCACTGCTTTTAGACTAGTTGAAGGCTGCTAAACAATGCCTGAGGTCAGACACTTTTCCTCAGGTCCACTGCCAATAAAAGGAAGAAAAAATAAGAACATGGAACTTAATGAATTTGAAGGCTCTCAAATTACTGCCCATCACACAGGTTGAATGCCAAAGGCCAGGAACGTACACAGCAGCCATTTGGGAGCTCAGAAGCAGGATTGCTGCGCTCGTAACTGTTTCTTGTCACAGGTAAGGTGAGACGCTACACCCCAGGGTCGCATCTCCAAATGGACCTTGTGCCAGAGACTGGGAATATTGGGTCCTTTGGGATCAGAACACAGTGGTCCTGTGATTTTAACAATCAGTTGTTTGGCCGTAAACAGAAAAGGGGTGAAATAACTTAAATTAATGTCTTTCTGTTTGCACAATGGAAGTATAAATATCTGTTGTATAGTTGCTGTTTGTTTTGCAGGCTTGCTGTCGTGTTGGATGAGAAGTCCCACTGAAGTCAATTAAGAGACTTGTATTTTAACTTAAATGAAGGTTTGATCAGCTCCAGATGGAAAACAAAGAGAAACTAAACCAAGATTCTCTACCAGCAGAGAAGTACAAAATGGGTATATTATATCCGCGGTCCTGAACAGTGCTTCAAGTTTATTTTCACTTGTATCCTTCTATTCTGCCACACAAATGATGTAACTGGGGATTTATCCCAAAGATTTAGCTTGAAGGGTAGTGGGAATAGAAAGATTTTTTCCTTCTTTTAGCTAGCCCACCCTGCCATCCTGTAAACCCAGCCAGAGGCAATCCAGCCAGACCTATGAAAATGCCCTTTTTGTTGGTAAAGTGAAATAACAGCTCTGCTGGTGCTGGCTGTAGTGCGTGTCTGTAAAGCACGCACTAGCTCAGCAGTGTCTTTTCTATCTGGCTGCCTGTACAGCGTGTCTGATTCAAGGCTGATGGGGAAAGTAGAGTGTGGATGTTCCTGCATGTCATCAAACACTTCAGGACCTGGTTCAGAAAGCAGAGCACGTCTTTGTGCAGGTCCGCTATGGTTTTCTACTGCTGTGCATCCCACCTAGCACAGTAGTAGGTAGCGGAGTCTTGCTGAGTTACTTTGCTCACTGTCAGGGTGCAGACAGATTTGGCGGGGTCCTTCTCGATACTAAATTTCCCCTCATCGGACTTGTTTTCGAGGAATAGCCTGGAGGACATGTAAGCAATGCGCTTGGGAGCTGCATTGGGCCTCTTTCGGTACCAGTGAATGAAAACATTGTTAAAATCAGGATCGGAGACGTGGCAGTTGATTAGCACCGTTTTGCTTTCTGGCTTGGTGATGGATATTGGGGTTTGCTGCAAGACTTGTGCAGAACCGCCTGTGTGAAAGAAAGAGAAAAATTAGAAACATGAGGCTGAGACAAGAGAGCATCCCCTTTGCCACTGGCAGACGTGCAAGCATCAGGGTGAGCAGGGCACGTACAAAAAAAAACAGCTGCCAGGATGAAAGCTCTTAGCTGCCACATTGTCTCTGCCCTCCTTATGGCTTCCTTTCAGGGACAGGGTCAGGGCCAGTGGTGGCAAAGCAGATCTGAGTGGCAGTAAACCACCCAATGAGGCTGTGCCAGCTGCAGATGTGTTAAATAATTATGCACAAGCCATTTCCTTTGATTAACACTTAAATAGAAGGCAAACAAAAAAACCCCAAAACCCCAGAAAAAACACCCTTGTAAGAAGAGAGCTCACTACTGAGGCAAACATATATTTTTTCTTTTTTTCCCCAAGGAATTTGCTCACGTGATGAGTAATGGGTCACCTTGTTTTTTTTTCTCAACGTATCATTTATGTGCACTAGCTTTTAAAGTCAGTTCTTCATATCCGGATTTTTAAGGTACATCAGAGGATGGAACAGAAGAGATGCCCCTCGAAAGCAGGCAAAATTGCTGCCCTAAATCACGAGATCAGGAAGCATTGTCGCTGTTTGTTCATACAGTCTCCTCTAGGCACCTGCTGTTGCCTGCTGCTGGAGGCAGAGCGCTGGGCTGCACCCTGCACCCGGCAAGGAGGGACGTAGGGTTAAACTTTGAGTCTACCTCACACTGGTGGTGCAAATCCCTTCTGCCTTTCCTTCCAGTTTAGTCATCTAAAGTGGACAAGCAGCATTTGTATGCTATTTTTCACAACTTGTCACTCTAATGAGTTCCTGCAGGCGAGCCCAGCCTGGCAAGCAGGACCCTGGAGTCAGGTGAGGTTTCCAGCCCTTGGGAGCACAGAGGAGGTCTTGTGTTAGCTGCCCGATGGTTTTCTAAGGATGTGAGGTCCCAGTAAGCGCAATAATAGGCAGCCTCTTGCTGCTTTGTGATTTTATTTATTGTCAGAATACAGATGGACTCTGTCCTTGCCTTCTCGGC